GATGGTACTATGAATTCTGCTCTCTGCCAGAAAATCTTGAAGGAGAATGTCCAACCCTCAGATTGTGATCTCGAGCTCAAGCGCACTTGGGTTATGCAGCAGGACAATGATCTGAAACACACCAGCAAGTCTACCTCTGAATGGCTTAAAAAAACAAAATGAAGATTTTGGAGTAATCTTGTCAAAGTCCAGGCTTAAATTCTATTGAGATGCAGTGGCATGACCTTAAACAGGCCGTTCATGCTCAAAACCCCTCCATTGTGGCTGAATTAAAATAATTCTGCAAAGAAGAGTGGGCTTAAATTCATCCGCAGTGAAAGACTCATTGCCAGTTATTTCAAACGTTTGATTGCAGTTGTCACCGAGGGTGGCATGACCAGTTATTAGGATTTAGGGGGCAATTACTATTTCATATAGGGCCAGGTAGGTTTGGATAGCTTTTTTCCCTTAATAAATGAACTCATCATTTAAAAACTGCATTTTGTGTTTACTCTGGTTGTCTTTGTCTAATATTACAATTTGTTTGATGATCTGAAATATTTAAGCGTGACCAATATGCAAAAAAAAGAAGAAATCAGGAAGGGGGCAAATACTTTTTCACGGCACTGTAGTTTGTCCATTTCCAGTCAAAGGTTCCATTTATATAAGTTAGCACTAGTGATTTTAGGAAATGCACCCCAGATGTGCAAGCAGGGCCTCATTTGACCTGTATGGGCCATGTTGTTTGTCGAATGTGCACCATGGACTCAGAGTTTATGGACTCTGAAGGTCTCATGTTGTCATCATCTACGTAGGCTACCTATTTTCGGACACCTTTCCTTGTCATGACCAAATAAAACTCTAAGTAAGTAATTGTGGTGCACCATACCTACAGGTACCCTCTGTTGCAGATGTCTTATGTGGTTCACTTCCCTCACTATCAACCGTCTGGGCACTCGAGCCGGGTTTTGCGTTCAATCAATCAGAGAGAAGCTCAGAAATTTCTGAAGCTACAGGCAAACGCTGTTATGGGAGGTAAGCGAAAAAAGTAAGACGTCTGCAACGGAGGCTTACCCAACACCAACATGTTGAAAATGTTCAAAAGGTGGAATTTCTCCGGTTTCTTTGGGGCTGAAGTATTCCTGAACACAGGTTCTTTAGCTGAGGAGCTACGCAACTCAGTTGGCGCTTCGGTAATTAGACGTTTGATGCGGAGCCAAACGCTATTATGGTAAAGTCGCTTGATTTCTTTCATGTTCTCATCCAGTCGGCTTTTTATTCTTGAGAATAAAACGGGAATAAACAGTAGCATCCCATACTGCTCACAACAGTTCGCTTGAGGAATATACAGCATTATTTATGGATAGAACCTGACTTATAATTGAAGGGACATCTAGTTTTTTTTTTTTTTTTCCATATACACATATTTTCTCTTTCTTCAATCTGATTCTTATTTTACATACAACACTTATGTCACTCACAACAAATGTTTTGGAAGTTTCTGTGCCCACTATTTTTATTAATATTTGACAAGGGAAACCCAAAAGGACTATTACAATTCGCTTATCGCACCCATAGGGGGGTGCAGGATGCCACCATCACTCTTCTCATATACAAGCATTTAAAGGGCAGCAAAAACCATGTCAGACTATTATTTGTGGACTTTTCTTCGGCGTTTAACACTGTTCAACCGCACCTGCTAGCGGAAAAGCTCATAGAACATTTTAACCTGGACTGTAACATTGTGGGTTGGATTTTGGACTTTCTCACTGACAGGTCTCAGAGAGTTAGAGTCAATGAGCACATATCCACACTATCAAGAACATCTACTGGATCTCCACAAGGCTGTGTTCTCTCCCCTCTCCTATATATCATGTACACAAATGACCGCCGCAGTAAATTTGACAACCATCACATTGTTAAATTTGCAGATGACGCAGTTATAGTGAGCCTGTTAGATGACACTGAAACATCTCATGGTCCGGTTTTAAATTATTTTTTAGAGTGGTGCAATGAAGCCTTTTCAGAGCTAAACGTCACAAAAACCAAGGATATGTGTATTGATTTTAGACGCCATCATCCTGCACCTGTCAACACTATAGTAAATGGTGAAGCTGTTGAGATTGTCGACTCTTACAAATACTTGGGTATTATATATATCCACTCAAAATTTGATGGGGATCATAGGAATTTTTTTGTGAAATGACATGCAAATTTGGTGACTGCCACTGATGAACAATATGTTGGATAAATGACATGCAGTCAGACACAAAACACATTTGCAAGTGCATTTAATGACATTAAATGAGCGTGCAGCCTTAAATTTTGGCTTTCACGAACACTTCATGGTTTCACCTCTGACATGTAAAGTGAAAACAGACAGTGTTCGTTTGATGTTTCATTACCACAGTTAATGTCAATAACGGGTATGGTCTCCCCTGGCTTGAATGACGGCTTGACAACGTCGGGTCATACTGTCAATCAGAACCCGGATGCTTGCAATTGGAATGTTGTTCCATTCTTAAACAAGGGCATTTCCGAGCTTTTCTAGAGTTGTGGGTTGTGCCCTACGACCGGAAATGGCGACCTGCAGCATGTTCCACACATGCTCAATAGGGTTTAGGTCCGGCGAACGCGTGGGCCAGTCCATGCGGACAATTGTTTCTTGCTCTAGGAATTGATTCACCACCCTAGCACGATGGGGACGGGCGTTATCATCCATCAAGATGAAATCAGGGCCAACAGCACCAGCGAATGGTCTTACGTACACATTGAGGATCTCATCCCTGTACCGTACCCCTGTCATCGTCCCTCTCCCCATGACATGCAGGTCCGTTCTGCCGTTCCTGCTTATTCCTCCCCAGACCATAACTGATCCGCCACCATAACGGTCGTGTTCGTTGATGTAGGCACCATTAAATCGCTCACGTTGTCTTCGCCACACCCGTTGCCTCCTGTCAGTAAAGTCCAAGCAATATCGGGACTCATCAGTAAAGAGAACTGGAGCCCAATCGTTGTGTGTCCATGTGACATGATTGTGAGCCCAATCCAAACGGTCACGCCTATGACGCACGGTCAGTGGGATTCAACACATGGCCTTCTTGAGTTGAGGCGGCAGTATGAAGACGATTCTGTATCGTCTGAGTGGATACCCTGACCCCCGAGGCGTTATGAAGGTCATTTCGTAGGGTGGTGGCTGTCCAGAAAGGATGACGTCGTGCCTGAAGTGTGAGAAAGTGGTCTTGTCGTTGTGTAGTCGATCTCTGACGACCACCCCCATGACGGTGTGCTGCTGTACCAAACGTTTGATGCGGTTCCACGCTCTGTTCACAACGCTTTGGCTGACGTTAAGTGCATTAGCAACGTGACGTTGTGAGAAGCCAGAGTCAAGCATTCCGATGCATCTTCCCAATTGCTCTGAAGTCAATCGACGTCTAAGACGTTGAGGAGACATTGTTATTGCTAAATGTAATGCAAAAAATTTGGGAACTTCCAAATTTTCACCAACAAGCAACACACACGTCTGAGTTGAAACGGTGAAGTGTTAGTCAAAGCCAAAATGTGAGGCTGCACGCTCATTTAATGTCATGAAATGCACGTGCAAATGTGTTTTGTGTCTGACTGCATGTCATTTATCCAATATATTGTTCATCAGTGGCAGTTACCAAATTTGCATGTCATTTCACAAAAAAATTCCTATGATCCCTATCAAATTTCGAGTAGTATATATAATTGATGATAAATTGACATTCGACAACAACATTAACATGCTCATCAAGAAAAGCCAGCAGCGTCTGTTTTGTCTGAGGAAGCTAGCTAAGTTCCAGGTCGACAGATCTCTCATGACAATGTTTTATAAATCTTTTATTGAGTCTGTTTTCACCTTTTCTTTTATCTGCTGGTTTTCATCTCTCAATCTCAAACAGAAAAACTCATTAACCAGGATAACAAAAGTCAGCAATAAAATCATTGGTACTCAGCAACAAACCCTTTCAGATCTGTACAATAACCAGCTGTCCAAGAAGGCAAATCCATAATGTTCGACAGCACTCACCCCCTGCACTCAGAATTTAAGTTTCTACCCTCCGGTTCCCGTCTCAGACAACCAATAGTCAAAACAAACCGTTACAAATTCTCCTTTATACCCTCTGCCATCTCACTGCTCAACTCTGTACAGTACAGGTAGCACTATCATTACCTTAGTTCACACTTTTTAAGTATGCGTTCTTGACTTTTTTTTTTTTTCTCGTCTTACTTTTGTTATTATCGTTGTTTGTTGTTGTTTTGTTTTTTATTGCTACTGCAGCACAACCGATTGCCCCATGGGGACAAATAAATGTCTTGAATCTTGAATCTTGAATCAAGCATACTGATTGACTTATTTCGCGCAATACCATTTAGTCACAATCGCAAAACCTGACTTGAGTGCGCGGAAGTTGGTGTGTGAGGGAAGCAAACAACATAAGACGTCTGCAACAGAGACTAGTCAACAGAATGACTGTCATGTTGCTCCTTTTCCCCCTCTCATGTGAAAAATATTTGTTTTCATCAATTTATGAAATAATATTCTTTTACAACTACTTATTTTCCTATTGTTTTGAGCTTGACTCCCATATTTGGAACACCTCCTGTTATACCACATCTGCTAATTGGCAAATTTGGGTCAATCCTTACTTTATTTTCAGAAATTTCTGCTCGGACCTCAATAAAAGGCTCATTTTTTGAGATAAAGCGGCAAATTGGGGGCATTTATTTATCAGGTTACTGTTCATGAAGTGTTTGGTCAAACATTTACCAGATTCGTTTTTATTTGAGAAAATTTGATGAATTTGCACTTTAAATCAAGGTGGTTGCTGCATGTTTTAGCACATGAACATGGGTGGTAACACAAACAACACATCTGCCACCACTTTTTTATTTTTGATTTAGCCAGGCAAGTCCCGTTGAGACCAAATTCTCTTTTTCAAGGGGGTCCTGGGCTTGAGGTGGGGAGGGAGAGGACAAATTGCATGGCCTGGGGCGCCCCGGTGGCTCATCGGTCTAAAGGCTGTGTCCTTCCCGCAGCGACCCGGGTTCGATTCCGGCTCGGGTCATTTACTGCATGTCTTCCCTCATTCTTCTCCCCATCCATCCTGTCTCCCTACACTGTATAACTATCTAATAAAGGAAAAATTCCCAAAAAAAAATCTTTAAGAAAAAAAATTGCATGGCCAATTAGATCAGAGGATGATAAGATGGCAGGTTGAAAGAGCCAGGTTGAGAATTAAGCCATGAAACCAGGAAACCCCCTTCTCTTTTCAAAAAGTGTCACTGGATCTTAAATGACCACAATGAGTCAGGACCTCAATTTAACGTCTCATCTGAAAGACGCTGTCTCCTTTAGTACAGTGTCCCCATCACTGCACTGGGGATTACACAACCAGGGGGAAGATTACTACCTACTGGCCCGCCAACACCTCTTTCAGCAGAAACATAGTTATCCCAGGTGGTTTCCCATGCAATTACTAACCAAGCCCACATCTGCTTAGCTTCAGCCATGCAGCTGGCGCAGATTGAGTCATGCTATGGCTGTTGGCTGCTGCTTAACGTCTTCAACTCTGTGGACTGTGTGTTTGTCTAATGCAGCTGCTCTATTCAAACTTGTGGAACTTAGGCCTATTTAATGTTCTAGTGGAGATCCTAAGGTCTCCAAAGATCTCAAATATGTCCTGTTGAAATTCAGGGAAATGTGTACAAGAAATCATGCACAAGATGTTTTTTTTTTTTTATTTGGAGTGATGCTGTGGCCTTAAATATAAGGCATTTTGGGTTTGAATATTTCACTTGATATAAGCGTGATGTAGCGTCAGTGAAGTGCTGCAACTAGCAGATATAAAATATGTGTGACATTCCCATACAATATTAAAAATGCATTATGTAACTGAACCTACGCTGGGAAAATTTCAAGCAATAATCAAAAACTAGACAGGTTGGTTGCCCGCGACCAATGGGTCTAGCCCCCAATTGCCCACATGTTCCTGTTTTTTAATTTTGTGTAAGTTATTGACCCACAATATATCACTACATCACAAATCACAACATCACAAAAGGCTGCGGCTCATTAAAAGGTGTATTTCCATAAATGACCAATTCCATAACTGAACTAGACACGCTGAAGGGTTCAGCAGGAGAGCTCCGGTTAAGTCCTGTGTTCATTTTGGCTTATTTTTGACATAAATGTCTTTTCTTTAATGAATTATGTTACCATGGCAACCAAAATTGACAGGCGCCTTGTCCTAAAGACTACCCGTATACATACCAAATACAAATGAAATAGCATTAAATTTGTGGCCTGTAGAGCGTTCACTAGGAAATCCCTGCGGCGACGGTAGAGGCAGACAAGAACACATGATGAGGCCAAATCCACAGTTGCCCAAACTTCATCTGGGTAGCTATACATTGTAAATGCCGTTATTGCACCTTGTAAGAGCGTTTAGGTTCATTTCTGTTTAATCTGCACTTTGATTTGATATTAAATTTCTGTCTTTTGCGCTTGGATCCTTGACTCCTTTCACTGTTCTGGTGCCCCTACATCTATTCCAGGGCACCAGACTGTAATGCTATCTACTAATTTTTTTTTCTCTTTTTACCTTGATATTTCACTTTTCATGCAACAATGATATCATGTCGATCATTCCATCTGAATGGATTTAATGACACATTTAATGGTGATGTTTAACCAATAATGTGTTGATTACATTTGACTAATTATTGCTCCCTACTTTGAAATGTTTGCTTCAAATTAATATTTCAGCTAAGTGGAAATAATTGGATTTTGAGAATTTTTCTTCGCACTGGGTAGTGGACAAAATTTGGCAAAAGAGTGGCAGGAAATTTTCTGTGCTAATGTTTTTTTTTTTTTTTAATGGAAATACTGACAAAGAAAAGGTTTACAATAGTTTCTTTCTAGGTGCCATTAACATCAATCAATATCAGCTGCATGACCAGCTTGAATTCGATGGTCAAAATTCTGTAGCCCTTTTTTTTGTCTGTTCGTCATCCATAAACAATTCAACCCTTAACCTATAGCATGTGAAATATTGATCAAATGTGCATGGCATGGTGGTCGTATTGTAAAGCTTGTAGAACTTGTCCATTTTAGACCTTCGTGAGTCAGAGCTGAAAACTGGTATGTTGGTGGTACACACCACGTTTCAATATCCAGATGATGGGTTTTTGTGATTTATGAAAAACGGCCAGTTTCTGACATTCCTTCATCCGAAGACACTTATTTTAATTACCCATAATTCTAGTTGTCATAAATACTAATCATATTTGACAAAACTTGGTGTAGAACATCTTTAGCACATAAACTACTTTGGGATTGCAGTTTAACCCCCTACTCCCAAAGCTGGGCATGGCAGGGTGGTCATATTGAAAAGCTTCCACTTGTCAATTTTTGCATTTCATACCTTATACTGCTTGCAAGTAATCGTTATCCCTGTGTTATATTCATCCTGGAGCCGGAGGCTATCCCAGCTGACTACTGGCAAAAGGCAGGGACCCACCTTGGACAGCTTGCCAATCCATAGCAGGGCGAACACACCATTCATACACCATTCACTCATGCACTCATACCTATGGCAATTTAGTATCTACATATTCGGATGTAATGGGGTTAAATTCCAGAGGGCTTTGAGATTGTATCACCTGCTGATCCGCAATCCACAGTTTGCCACTGATTGGCACTTGTCTATCCCACGTTTGCAAAATGCTATGCAAAAATTTTTGCAGTATTTTATAACCACTCTTCCAGTCTTTCCTTGTAATCCTCTATGAGAGAGATGATTTTTCTCGCACAAAATGATGAGCTTTATACATTAGATATATATATATGTTCTGGAAACCAGTAATCTTCCAAAATGGTGAAAACGATTATTTTCCAGAATTTCCCTATTATTCTGATTGCCACTGGACAGAGGCATTTAGCCAGTTGATCTAAATGTATAATTCATTGTCATTTTAAATCATCCATTTTCTCTCTTCCCCACTGTCTCCATGAGAAATTTGCATTTAAATTGGAAATTCCAGCCTGGAGTACTGATGGGAGTTGGCACAAAATATTCGTAATTGCAGGTTATGTCTGGTCTGATACATTTCTGGTGGAGAAGCCACAGAAGAGTACTGTATTGTGTTTAAATTTGAGCTCCAAAACAGTTAAAACAAAGTCCTACACTTATCAAACGCTTTATTAGGAACATCTGTGCAGCTGCATACCTGCTTAATCATGCAAAAATGTGCTATCATCATGAAACATGACGCTCTTGTCCAACTTCTATTTATAACAACAAAGGAGTCCTTTGGCTTCCTTAATTGACACCATTGGTACACAAGATTGAGATTGAGGAGGGGCAATCTAAAAACCTCTTAAACTCGAATGCCCCGGTACTGGGGGCAATCATTTGCATCATAAATACAGCATGTTTCCTAATAGCAACATCGTCATACGGCGTGTACACTTAAAGGGAAGAAACTCGGTGAAAAGCTCACGTTGACCTTTTTTTTTTCTCAACTGATCACAATTCAAGCACCTAGCAAGTAAATAAGCATGTTGCAAAACAGAGAGTAAAATAATAGTGCTCGATCGCTAGCGTTTTGACTGAATTTGTGCTATGCATACAAATGATACATCAAATGAAAGAGGAAAGTCCAGAAAATCCAACGATATAAGCCATGTCATTTTAAACTGACGCTACACTCAAAGAACAGCAGGCATACACTTTACATTCTACAGCGATGAGCAAAAATTTTTTCTTACCTTTGATATTTTGTAATAAAAACTGTGTTCAAGGGAAAATCTGGCTATTGTTAGCCCAATGTGTCCCTGCTATAATGAAACTAGATCTGCCAGTCTTCATGAATGTTTTTGCCAGGGACACTGCTTCCAATGAGAACAGTCACTGAGCATTCTGCTTGCACAAAATGGGTCTCATTCATGAAACGTTAGTAAATTTGTGCATAGATTTGCACATAAAACCCTACGCTACTAAAAACCTACTCCGGATTCATGAACACCGTGGGAAACTCAGATCTGATCGTAAATATGTGTGTATGATCATGAATGCCAATCCATCGTAAAGTGACAGCGCGCTCCAGGTAATCAGCTATTCGCATAAATCCCTGCCCATGAATTGCCAATGACCACCATATAAGGAGGTGTAGATGCATCCAGTCGACCTGTCAGTCATGGCGCAAACAAAGAAAGAGAGAGAAAGAAAAAAGAATTATTCTGAAGCGGAGGTAGAAATGATTTTGGGTTAAGTGGAGTTAAGAAAAAACATTTTATTTTCATCTGTTAGCTGTGGTGTGACAGGGACAGGCAAAGCGAAGGCCTGGAAGGAGGTGACTGATGCCGTTAATGTTGTCTCTGTAGTCCAAAGAACCATGTCCGAGGTGAAGCGTAAATGGTTTGACATGAAACTGGAGGCAAAGAAACGCATAAACGCACACAATAAAAATACATCAGCCACAGGAGGAGGAGGCTCACAGTCACAACTCGTCTCATGAATAGCAAAAGGTCGCAAGTGACATTCCTGATGAAACCTGTTTTTCTGCACCACGAAGCACTACAGCGGCTGTAGTGCTTCGTGGTGCAGAAAAAACAGGTTTCATCAGGAATGTCACTTGCAACCTTTTGTTATTCATGGGACGAACTATCAACTGCAGACGAGTGCATCGCTGGCATAATTGGGGAGACCTCTCTGTCAGGAATCATACCTGACGGAGATAGCGACATGCCTCCACTTTTATTTTTTTATTATCATCATTCAACATGTAGAAAGAACGTGTCATCTATTGAGTCGATTCACATAGATAATTCACAATCATGAACCTAATCTGGATCTTAAACCTGCCAATTGCCAACTAATTTAACTAAATGTGTTATATTTTTAATCGTTTGTCATTTTTAGGCTATGTCACGTGTTTCAAAGGCATCTGCGTATTGTGTACATAACAGAGCACAATATGAATTAAAATTGTAATTTCCAATAGTGGCAAGCATTATTTATGTGCATTCTTAAATTTACACAAGCACTACGCATGGTCAGCAGCA